TACCTAGCTTAACTAGCTTACCTTTTTTTTAACAGCGGTAGAGCCACGCGGCAGCTTTGCTGTTGCATGTATGGGCCGGCTCAAACCAAGGTGGTACCACGACCTCACAGAATACCGGCGTGAAGCGGAAGCTCTTCTTCCGCGTTTCGTCTGGTGAGTGCAGGTGGCCGGAGGTCCAACCCCCCCCCCATCAACATGGTAGCGGAATTAAATGATGATAGACTACCCCAGGAGGGTACCACACACCCTTGGAGAATCCGTCGCTGAGCATCCACGACCATGTTTCTCCACTCCTGAGCGTGGGTGCTCAGGCTGCCCCGCGTATTCTGGGGAGGGGGGTGGGGAAATATTCTGCTCAAGACTACAACTGCTCGGGCAAACGGAGCAACAAGACCAAGACCAAGAGGCCGGAAGTGCAGTTCACACAGCGCTCGGTTAGCAAAGCACTCCTCTCCCTGGACATCCACAAGTCGAGTGGGCCTGATGGAATCCCCCTAATTGTGCTGAGGACGTGTGCTCCAGAGTTGGCACCGGTTTTAACGCGTCTTTTCCGGTACTCCTACTCCCTAGGCATAGTCCCAAAATCATGGAAGACGGCTTTCGTCCACCCGATCCCTAAAAAAGGCGACCGCTCAGACCCGTCCAACTACCGGCCTATCGCCATCACCTCCTTGTTCTCCAAAACAATGGAGTCTATTGTTAACTGCCAGCTCATGAGGTATCTTGAGGATCACCAGCTAATTAGTGATCGCCAATACGGTTTTCGCCGTGGTCGGTCAACTAGTGACCTTCTGGTCTACCTTACAGATGGGCGGAGGCAGTAGAGTCCAAGGGGGAGGCATTGGCCGTTAGTTTGGACATTGCGAAAGCCTTCGATCGGGTTTGGCACAAAGCGCTTCTTTCGAAGCTCCCTTCCTATGGGCTTCCCGAGAAATTGTGCGATTGGATCACCAGCTTTCTTCCAGATCGGAGCATCAAGGTCGTTGTAGACGGTGCAAGCTCCGATTGCAAGCCTATTAATGCTGGTGTTCCACAAGGCTGCGTGCTATCGCCAACGCTGTTTCTTCTGCATATCAATGATATGTTGCGAACCCGTAACATTAATTGCTATGCAGATGACAGCGCTGGCGATGCTCTTTACACCGGCCATGCCAATATTTCTCGGGAAAATGTCTCCGAGTACCGGGACAAACTTATGTCTGAAGTCGAGTCTTTGTTGAACAGAGTCTCGGATTGGAGGCGACTAAATCTAGTCCAGACCCCCAGAAGACACAAGTTTGCGCGTTAACCGCTAAAAAGAAACCCTTTGTCGTATCTCCTCAGTTTCAAAGCACTCCCCTTGTTGTCTCAGCCAGTATCAGAATCCTCGGTGTCGACATATCGAGTGACTTGCAGTTTCGTGGCGTGCTCAGCAGAGCGGGACAGTATTTCATGCCAGCACACCGCCTGCAACTTTACAAGGTACAGGTTCAGCCGCACATGGAATACTGTTCCCATCTCTGGGCTGGGGCTCCCCAGTACCAGCTCCTTCCACTTGACCGCATCCAGCGCAGAGCGGCTCAAATCGTCGACGACCAATTGCTTTCCGATCGGCTCGATTCACTGGCGCTGCGAAGAGATGTTGCATCTCTTTGCATTTTTTTTCGCATATACCATGGGGAGTGCTCTGAGGAATTGTTCGGATTAATGCCAGCCGCCAAATTTCGTGAACGCACTACGCAGCAAACGTCCCGATACCATCCACACTATCTGGATGAGTTTTCTTCCGCGTACAACCTCTCTGTGGAATAGTTTACCACCGGCGATTTTTCCGGACCGATACGACCTGGGGACCTTCAAGAAAAGAGCTTACTCCTTTTTAAAGGGCCGGCAACGCACCTGCAATTCCTCTGGTGTTGCGGTTGATCATGGGCGGCGGTAGTCACTTAACATCAGGTGAGCCACATGCTCGTTTACCCCTCTTCTATAATAAAGCTTTATATAATAGCTTTCGTAACGTGCGCGTATTCGAATGTGGAATTGTGTCAAAATCTCGAAGCATTTTTATTTCTGTAGATTGGTCTTTAAAAAACTTTTTATTAAAGTCAAAAAAGCACACAGAATACCAGCTAACAGCTATACCAGCGCAAAATGGTAGCTTAATGCTGCTGTGTTTCTGTATGGTGAGTATAGAGCACCGGATACCTTTTCTACTGGAAACGAGGCATTCCATCTAAGTCCTCACAGGTGACAACGCATCTGCATTTTGATTCGTGATCGAGGATAGATGTAGATGTTTATGGGTCACAGCAAACGTTTAACATCAGGTGGACTATGTGCTCGTTTTTTACCCTAGCCTATAAAAATAAGCAACACCGTCACTACAATAAGTCCCTGCTATGGAGAGTGAAGTCCGTCTTGTAAGAAGAAGCGATAAGAAACTCACAAGTAGACTATTTATCAAGGACAAAAAAATTTAATGAAGCTCAAGTATTTTTATTTTTAAATAATCATCTAATTCATGACAACCTTTTTTCAGTAAAGTGCCATTTACAATTGCTTGGAATTTATACTAAGACAACATATAAGGTGTTATGAATTATATTACAGGGAATATTGTTATATATAAGTTATATATCAACCCAAAAATTAGTTGTTAGTTTTATGTAATTTAGACTCAGTAAGTTTAGGTTTATTAAGCGTAGATATTAAAATAGTTTCCAACATAAATAACGATATCCAACATGGAATATAAATCAACAAGGTCTTAATTAATTTAAAAAGATAATTGAGTGGTACTAAGTTCGATATTGTATATGTAATATGTTAATAACAATGTGCACGTTATCAATTTATTTAAAGTTATGTAGTTCCATACACAAGATTTGGGGGAGTCTCTTCCGAGGCCCTTTCAAGCGTTGTCAATGCTTCATCAGACCTCGTAATGTGAATGTCTCGAAGTTTAGTAATATCTAAGAATAAACAGAAATCGCGAAATGCTGGAGAGTCAATATTCAACTCTTTGTTCAGTGGAATGCTCCAAATTGGTATATAATCTGAGTTTAAGATAAATACAAAACATGTTTGTGAAAGTTAAGGTGCCATGTAGGAAATGCTAGAAAATTTTGAATAAAATAATGAAATTACTATATTTTTGCAAGCGTCTCATATATCGAGAGCTGGATATATCGCTATGAAGCCAAAATGAAAGCGCAAGTATTACGTAAAACGTAAGTATCCATTGTTTCCTTTTAAGAACTTGGCATTAAAAGGAAAAAAGAGAGAAAACAAGGACGAATATTTTATACGTGGTAGAGCCATGCTGCAGTTATATTAGTAATATAGATGTAGCGCGAATGGGGCGGCTCGACCGGGGAAGGACCACGCTATCACAGAATATCAGCGTAAAATAGTAGCTCAATGCTGCCGTGTTTCGTATGGTGAGTGTAGAGAACCGGAGACCCTTTTTACTGGAAATGAGGCATTCCATGTTAGTCCTCACGAGTGGAAACGCATCTGCATTTTGATTCGTAATCGAGCATACAAGTAGGTGTCTATGGGTCATAGCAACCACTTATCATCAGGTGGACTGTGTGCTCGTTTGTCAGCCTATCCTATAAAAAAGAAAAGAAAATCGTTGCACAACTCTTAGGTCGGCCAATCAACAGGCAGAAGCAACAGTTAATGGGCGTAAAGCGACATTATTTTATTTTTTATTTTAATGAAACTGAAGTGGCAAACAAATTTGCAGCCCACTTCACTGTAAAGAGGCTCCCGCAGTCCGTAGACCACTGCAGCCAACTTCAAACAAAGAACGTGTCCACGGTGGCGTTAAGATGGAATGCAATACAACCTGTGAATGAATTCCGTCATATGTTTTTATTTACTTTTGCACGTCTGTTTATATCTATATTCAATATTTTTGGGACCGCTGTCATATTTGTCATTTACATAATATAGGAATAAAAAAAACCGTTATTGTGTGATTTCCTTTAGAGATGTATTAACGATCGTATGTTGTCGATGATTTATCCAATGTTGTTTAACCAAGAATAGGTATTGCGGACGGTGTGACTAGAAAAAATGAATACTTGAATGGAATAGAAAAATCTTAATAAATAACACAGCACAAGATACTTATTAGAAGTCATTTATGCTTTTATTAAACACTTCAGCGCATTTTTATGGGCATGTAGACGCACATTTGACTATTCAACACGCTGGGACTTCTATTTATTGTTAGATAGAAATAAACTAAGCTTTGATTATATTTATATTATACTGGTGATTTGCCCCGGCTTTGCACGGGTCATATCTGGATTCTACAACACCGTTACATGTCGGGTCTAACTATGCCTATAACCTTCGCGGAAGTGCAAGCAATATGTTGACAAAGTTTTACCGCAACCTGATGAACGGTATGGCAGCGTATAAAATACGAATAAACAAAAACTAATTTTTATAATTAGATTATCTAAGAAACTTCTTTACGAAGCCTGAAGAAGTGACTACACTACTAAAATCCGTTATAGAGACCCCTAGTGAAGAGTTTATGCCCTTTTTCAAAGTAAGCTGGGTTTTGTGAGCGTAAAACCGACAACATAAATATGCACTTTCAGGTTACAATACATGTCTTTTGTGTCTCATCAAGGCTTTTAACTGTATAAAGCACATGATGTTAATTTGCAAAAGAAGTTTTAAGGTATTCTCGTAGCGTGTAATATTTTTATGTCATCCTATATTTTAAATAGTGCACTCTGAACAGAAGGTTATTATGAATGAATGACACATTGTCTTCGGAATCAGTCGTGCGAAGGGTGTCCCACACATAGGATACTATAATACATTATTATAGTATTCAATGGTCTCACAGGTGTCGATCCACGGCTTAATTCTATTTTTAGTACTTATAAAAAATCTGTCGATAGTTTAGAGTACTTATTATATGTTCAAAATTTAATATGGGTCAGTTCTAATGTGTAAAGTATACACAAATGTTTGTTTTTAATTTACGCTCCGATTTAATTTAGGATTGTCCCAGTAATAACGGTCACCTGACAACCACGGCTCGTTCGCGGCCCTGTCAAGGGCGCTACGAGATTACAAGCAGCAGCCGCGTCCCGGGTGAGAGCTGCACCGACCTTGTTCCCTTTATTGCCTTTTTCAACCGCGAATATCACCCGTAGAATGTTATCATAATATTGGTCAGGGTAATAGGTAATGAAGTCATAAAGAGAGCGTTGGATTTTCAAGGGGCAGGGCTCAGGTCGGCGTCGCGCGCACCTGAAGGCTGCGCAGGGCGGGCGGGGGTTGAGAGTGGGGGCGCGGGGAGGGAAGCGTGGGGGGTCGAGGTGGCGGGCGCGCCCAGTACCGCGCCGGGCGCCGCTCGGGCCGGCCGCCGTTGTGTAATAGAAGGCCGCATGAGCGCGCCGGTGTGCTAGCGCAGCGTGCGCGGGTGTGGTATGCCCGCGCGTCGCCGCCATGGCCCCCATACTGGTGGCCTTGGCGCTGTTCGCCCTTCTACCCGGTGAGTTAGCGGCCTCGTGGCCGCGCGCAACAGGCGTCAGGCCTCGCCTGGCGTCTGTTTACCTCAAATTGCGTTGCGTGATGGTGAGCACGAGGTATTGTGAGTTGTTCTGGATGTGGTGTGGGAGCGGCAATCAGGTAACATGGCATGGCATGTGAGTTTATTAGGTACACGACAGCGACCAGAAACTGTAATCAAGATATCAGGTAAATGAGAATAAAGGGTAGGTGAGAAACGAAATTAAGCGGAAAAAGCGGACATGACGATATACGCATTGTTTGTAATACTAAACGAATGTATAAAGGAATCTAAGCTTTTTATTTTTGGATACTTTTTATGGTATTTCTATATAATTTTCAATATATCTTAAAATTAACACTAATTTGAGAAGTGTTTATGACTTCTTGCATTTTCTACTTCATTGAAGTAGAAAATATTCACAAAATTGTACTATTTATTTTCTGTACTTACACATACATAAAATATACAGGCGTTGTTGAGAATGATAATATTGATACCGCTAGATATACCCAAATGGACAAAGTACTTAATAATATTTTCCTCAAATACTCTTTTAATATCACTCATTTTAAATTATCTTCTTTAGAATAAGCCAATTGGTTTAAAATCGGCCGTGGAATGACGTAGTATAAAATATTAACATTAAAGGGAAATAGCTTAAAAAATAAACAAAAAAATACATAAATACTAATGTTGCTCAACATCCAGAAAATAATGTTTACCAACCGTTTAACTCATAGAGACTTTTATTTAATGAATATAGAGATAAATACAATAACAAAAGTTACAACAAATTTCGTTTCAAACTTATTAGGAAGATCTTCTCGAAACAAGTAACAATATTTAATATCTTTTGATCCTGACCCTTGACTTTGCGAAGCGTAAAACTTTGGCCCGTCATGTAAGCGACTGAGGGCTTTGTTGAGTTTGTGAGGTTTTAAAATATCTCGCTAGGACGCCTCTTGAAAATCAGCAGACAAATAATGCGACGTTTGGAGAGAAACAAAGAACAATGGCACATTTTCTTTGATGACTTTATCTTTTTCAATGACTCCTCTTCAGATAAATAAATAATAAACAAGATCTAACAACTAAACGATTAGGGCTTCCATATTATTTAAAAATTACCAGATTATATATTTAACATACAAAAAAAGACAAATTCTTGTTATAAATTAATAAAATTTAAAAAGTTTTATAAATTAAACACATATTTTTTCGGAGAAAGGACCGGGCTCTCACAGAATGTGTTTCGTATGTTAAGGCATTCCATCTTGATTCTCAAGGCTGACAAAGCAAGTGCAATTTGATTCTAAATCGAGAAATGTAAGTGTCTACGGGCCACAGCATCCATTACTATGAGATGTACTGTGTGCTCATTTGTCACCCATACTCCATATATAGTGGTACGTGCATACCATACAAAAAACCATCTAAATTGGGCTTCAATATCAATTACAAAGGAGTTAGCTTGCACTCACTATTTTGAATGTTGTGGCACAGAACTTTTGGACTACAATGTTATTATTGTCTGTATTTATCGTATACTAAACTCAAACGTGAATCTATTTTTCGGTAAACTTAGACTTTTGTTACACAGTATTACATATAATAATAAAAAGGGTATTTTTGTGTGGAGATTGGAACATCGACAAATTAAAAAATGATAATAATATAAGAGAATTAAATTCCATACTAATTAACCACAAGAAGTAAATCATCTATTGATCAAGTGGCATCTAACTTAAATATTTCAAATTAAGAATTTAAGAATATCGGACCACGACACAACACAAACGTTAGTCATTCATATTAAAGAAAAAGTAGACAAATCATTAGAAACGGATTTCAATTTGGACGTGACTATAGCAAGGAAAATCTAAATAAATTCAAACACTGTATGTCAAGCTCGTCATTTAATGAAGTATATGAAGAAATCGACCTCAATAAATCGTTTAATAATAATTTTTTAATCTTGATTTCCTACAAAAAAAGTAAAAAATTAATCAAATCTTGTCGAATAAATAGCTTACAAAAGGTCTAAAGCAGTGCTGTGTTAGAAAAATACTTCTATATTACAAGTACGAAAACGAGAAATTTAGTAAAATCCAAAATGAAATTAAATATACTACTTACTGCAAATGATTAGACACGCAAAAGAAAGTGTCAAAGAAATCAAAAAACAAGTGTAAGACACTATGGAATATAATTGAATATAATACAAACTTAAGTAATGACGTAAAAGAAATTGAAGAATTAAAAATAATGATATTATTTATAATAATCCTATTGACAACTGTGAACATTCAACAATTATTTTACTAATTTGACAATACCAAAAAAAGTCTGATTATGGATAGACGACTCACTTAAAATACATTAAGAATGAAGCAAACAGTATATTTCTTACGGCAGTTAATGAAAGTGATGTTATAATCAACACTAAATCCTTGAAAGATACAAACTCTACTGGATATGATAAGTTTAATACAAAAATAATAAAAGTAATCGCTCCCTACATACCAGCGCCCTTTTCTACATAGATCGTTTGAGCAAGGTGTTTTCCCGGAACGCTCAAAAATATCTACCGTAAAACCGTTATATAAAAAAGGTGATCGTACTTATATGGGTAACTACAGACCAATAACGCTTGTACCGATACTTTACAGTTTTTAAGAAGTCTATAATAATAAAAATTATAACACAAAAATAATAATATTATCATCGTATCAATTTGATTTTAACAGAACAGGCTCAACACTGGCAGGAACACCTTAAAGACATTAACGTGTTTTCTTTTAGTAAAAAAATCGTTGAAGCACTAAATAACAGTGGCATATATAGTTTTAAAAAGCTTGAAAATATGGTATAAGAGGGAAAGCATCTGACTGGATACGGAGTTATTTATGAAATCGCAAACAAAGTACGGATATCGATAAAACAATAAACAACATGAAAGTTACTTTAAATCTGAGTTAATTAATAATAATTGCCACAACGATCGGTTCGTGCTCCATAACTCTTCTTGCTTTATATAAACGACTTACCAACGGCAATTGGTCAGGAGTGCATATTTAATCGCAGATGGTACAACGCTTATTATAAGAAATTGAATACAATCAATAGCCCTGGAACAACAATAATTTAAAAATGCAATAAATTGGATAGAAAGTAACAATCTAAAAATAAATGTTGATAAAACTAAAATTTCGAACCATGTAATTATACCTATAGTAATAATAATAATAATAATAGTATTATAAAAGAAATTCAATAAGTAAATTCGATCAATTTTTTAGTCATAATTACAGATAAAAACTTAAATTGGAAAGATCAGATTATAAAATTAATAAATAAACTAGACAAATACGTTTTTTCTTTGCGACGTTTAAGATACTTATATACACGACGTTATAGCTTCCCAGGAAACAGCCGTTATTACCTATCATGGATATGCATCGTCCCTCTTACGATATGAATTGATTGTTTGGGGAAATTCCGTTTATGCGGACAAAGCACTTAAAATCCAAAAAAATGTATAAGAGCGTTATGTGGTGTTGAATTTTCTTGAATACTTTACGCCATTATTTAAAAAAAATGTACAGTTGCCTTGTCTGTTCATACTAGAAATAAGTATTTTTGTGAAAAAGCATCTAAACATATTTCCTTCACACAATGAAGTGTGAAAAAAGACCGAATTATAGGAAAATTACATATACCACAAAAAAGCTTAATAAGTATAGTAAAAGTGGTTTTTGCATGGCAACTAAAATATTTAATAAGCTACCAGAAAATATAAAACTAATAAAAATTAACAAATATATAAGTACTTTAACTCAGTGGCTCCCTGACCTTTGTTTCTGCTCCGTAAAAGATTTTCTGACATATAAAATAGATTAAGTGCAACAGTGACACTGTATGTATATTCATTAAATTAAGTTTTTTTTCTTAATCTACGAATTATGAATAAATTTGCTTTTAACAAGCTACAATAGAGATGGACATAAAAAAAACACCTGAAAATATCAAATATATCAATGTTTTACTAATTTCAAATGTATGCAATTACTATTCGGAATAATTGAAGCCATACGTTATATTTCACAATTTGTTAATTAGGTGCTGTAAATATTGTTATTGGATTGACATAATATTTATTATTATATTGTCGTCCTATCGCTGAAATTGTAAAAACCTAAGAGTTGATAATTGATAATTGTGATGTTTCGACGCCGATACCGGTAATACATATAAATGATCCTGAAAGTTATAATACAATAACGTATTGCACCATGTCTCCTTAAAAATATTGTAAAAAGGTGTAGAATTTTAAAAATATCTTGTTTTAGAAAAAAGGCTATTTTGACTATTATTGCACATTGTACCGTCATTAATCGAAATAAAAATAAAATTCCATGCGATTTTACCTACCTAATAAACGTTTTTAGTTTTTATAATATAATGATATTACTAAAATGTATAAACTGAATTTATAACAAAATAAATAAGAAATTCAGTAGGTATTTCTGTAATATATAACAAAAACGTTTTGGACAAAATTAGTTATTTTGTACAACATAGAAAAGGAATTGTTAAAGAATCGATCAACCCAAACAAACTTTCAATGTGAAATAAAGAAAAACAGAAGATGAAAGAAAAATCCGTTACAAAATACAACAATAGGCCTACTAAAAACTGTAACAAAGAGGAATGCGTAGTTCGTTTCTAAAAATCAAAACTTTAAAGCCCATCTAGAGTAGAGACTTCAAAGAATAGATTGGCTGTAGGTTTTCCAGCTAGGAGTGCCTCTGGCAATAGAGGCTCTTAGGGCCAAGTGTGACCAAGTCGTCCCGAGCCTCGTTGAGACCCGGAACACGTGTCGAGTATTTGTTTACTCCTGACAAAGGGAACCGGAATTTTTCAGCACACGAATTGTGTTCTATT